AAACACTGCACAGAAAACAATTAAACAAATTAATGAACCAAAATAACACTGAACAGAAAACAATTAAACACTGAACAGAAAACAATTAAACAAATTAATGAACCAAAAATAATTAATAAACAGAAAACAATTAAACAAATTACCGAGACTATCCTTTCAAAAATTAGGGGTATTACATAACATCACATGGGTCTAAAAAGTAACATCATATGAGTTTAAAAGTAACATCACCATTTATGTGCATACCTTATTTTGAGGGTAAAGATACTTATAAATGGTGGTGAAGAAGGTTTTTAATTTTTTGTAATTGGTGCACCCAAACATTGCCTCAAGAGCTATTAAATGAAGAATGATGTGGCAAAATATAGGCCACTTAAAAGTCACTACAAGGGACCGTATAGGATTCTCACAGCGGAGGATTTGAGCCCGATACACACTTAGGGTTACTTTTGTTCGGCTTAGCCATGACACACACTTAGGGCTAGTTTGGGAGGTAAGAATGGAATTCCATTTTGTAATTCCCTTTCTCTTGGACTAGTTTGGTAGACAAGAATGGAAATGAATTGAATGATCATTGATCATCCTACTTTATAATTCTCTTTCTCTTGTTTGGTGTGTCCTTATAAAAGTGGAAAGGAATTCCAATACATTTCCTCCATAAAAAAAACTCGAATGATCACATCTCTTCTTAAAATATGGAATGACCATTCCCACCCATTCCCACCCATTCCAATTAATAATTAAAAGAAAAAAAGTTAAAAGACAAACCTTGCCTTCATTATAGACCTCTCTCTCATGTTGGTTGTCTTTCTCTCTCCCCCTCTAACGTAACCCAGACATCTCTCTCTTTGCACATACTGTATAGCAAAATTTTCAGCTAATTTCACCATGCCAATTCCTCTTTTAAATGTTTACAATCTCATTCATCAAAATCCAAGATTGAGACTGGAATCAAAACCACGTTTGAATTTTTTGTCAGAGTTAAAAAAAAAAAAATTCAACTTATTGACGGAACCCCTCAAAATTAAGAAGTAATTTCACCACATTAAACCGCATGCATCTCAATATTTAAATTACACAGTATATGTCCATTAATCAATGTTTGCCATCAAAATATATAACGACCCCCTGTGTTGACCATGATTTATATGCAATACAATTCACATTAACAATTAATGTCCCCAATAAGAACTTATGTTGTGAGATTTATATGTATCACTAGTAAGTGCACGAATTTTTGCAGAGAGGGTTTACTTATAAGGGTGTCGTACCCAAGGGACTTGTATAAAATAAGTTTGTCAATAGATTTATTAAATTCCAAATTAACTTGAAAGTAGGATAATCGAATTGTGATGATTTATTCTAAATTAACTAAATAGAAAATAAAATAAAGAAAAATAATTAAATAGGATGTAGAAAATAGAAAGAGAGGACCAGTGGTATGATTTCACCACTAACATCGCATCACCAGTCAATTGCATCAATTTATTGGAGATATTTCATATAACATGCACAGGAAATTAATCATGGCTACAAGCACATATTAATTCAGGTAGAAAATAATATAATTTAAAACTAAGTATGGACTATCTTCGATTGGTATAAACCATCTACCTATTCACTTTATTCTAGGATATAGTATGGTCTATCTTTTCTAGGTATAATCCATCCAATATCTAACATTATATTCAGGTAAAAACCATTGTGTAATCATCTCATTCACAACTACAAGAAGTGAATGAGTTGTGTTCAATTACAAGATTAAAAATCTGAGACAAGATAGAAATATATTTGTAATTGAATTAAAACTCTAAAACCGATTCTTATTGAAAAGTCAATTAAAAACCCTATAGATTACACAGTCATGCATGATACAAATTGTTTCTCTAATAATTAAATATAATCAAACCAGTGTGCTAAGTTAGGGCTACATCACAACCCAGTAGACCGTTTAGCCAAGCATGACTGAAGTGGAATTCTTCATGGTTGAGGAAGACATCTTCACCGCCATGGATCGATCTCTTCTTTCTTCTGAATACTTTTCTCTTATCTCAGCCTCAAGCTCCTCTGTATCCCACTTCAATGCTGTAGGTGACTCCCTTTAAATAATAAAAGATCAGCCCTAAAGTTCCCTTTTCCATATAGAAGACATATATAGAAATTCTGTCAAATAAGAATTCTAAAATTCGTGCAGACTTTTAGGCCAATTTTGACAAGGTAAACAGCTGTTTTAGGGAATCCTCATGAAATACAAAATTGTAGCTATTCGAATTTTATTTCAATCTAATTGTGACTTTAGCTGTTTTGATACTCGAGGAGAGAGATACGGCCAGATTACCAAAACAGGTTCAAGTTACCAACTTTGGCGAAAGTTTCCTTTTTGGAGAAGGATTTTTCATTTTCTTCTTCTTTCCATTCTTATCAACTTATGGCTTCCTTTGGACTATTTTCTAAGTATAATTAGACTTGGATCTTAACATTGCTCAGTCCCACGAAATGTCATCTTTTAAAGCTTAGAATTACTGGTGTTGACTAATTTTACAATTAAAGCCCTGAAATTAAAAAAAAATAATAATAAAACAATGTAAAATCACAAATAAACTATTATTAAGAGAATAAAACATGCAAATAGAGGGGTTAAAATGTATAACATTTAGCGCCTAACAACTTCTATACCATGACAATATGTCCTCGCACAAGTCGCTCAACCGTCATTAGTTTAACCATTCTTCTGCAAAAAAATGTTTGTTTCTAAACATGTATCTTCTTTATTTTTCAAGGGAGATGCATTCACTTGGATACCAATACCGATTTCATTTTTCAATACTATAAGCACCGTCTTATTCTACTTGAAGTAGTCATCCATATACATAAAATTAAAAGTACTACAAATACAACTATGATTCAAAACACTCATACATCCACTTCATACATCCACTTACGCTTTTGAAAATTTGAATTATTCTTTCTAATATGGACCAGTTTTCCTCATCAAAATTATACATTATATGTCCACGATAAGATATTACTCCATGCATGTTTTCCATCAAAATTTATATATATAACCAACATTTTTTGATCATGTGCATAAAGGCCATTTTTTAGTTTGTTTCAAATGGGACAGAAATTAAAAAGGGAGTATTCAACTTTGATGGTAATATTCCACCTTTACCGTTGTGTACGGATTATATTCATAGTATTTGTGCATGGTTGGGATTGGACAAGGGACTCGAGCAATGCCAAGTTGATAAAGCAGAAGGTAGTGGGCTAATTAACTTTTGAGTGCTTTCATTTTCAAGGTCACCTTTTTTCAATCAACAATAGAACTATACAAGTCGTTCCCAAGTCTTCACTGTCTCTTTCACCAATGGATGGTTATCACAAAGTCTTTGTTCTTTTTTTAATTCATCTTCCATTCTCTCTTTCTCTGTCCATATATATATATATATATATATATATATATATATATATGTTTTGTGGAGTCCAATTATTTTGTTATCCCTGTTCCTTTCTTTCCTTTTCTTCGTTCTACCGGCCACTTTTGAATTTAAAGTCAGTCACTTTAAGCAATGGAGCACTTGAACAAAAACATATCAGATCAAAATATAATATTAATAACAATAGTTTAGTATTAAGAAAAGACAAGATAGTACTTGGGGAGTTGGAGTCACATGCTCGTATATATACATATATCTTTTGCATAAATGTTAATATACACTTATATGAGATACCTTATATATATTCCTAGCACATAAGAATAATAAATAATAAATAAATAAAATAAAATAAAATAAAACATATTTGTTTCCCAACAATGAGTCTCAGATGACAAGATCCGTCAGTTAACTTGTTGGGTTTGGCCATGACACACACTTAATTTTGGGTTGGGATTATTCCTTGTATAATGCGGCTAGATCATTTCGTCATGGGTTTGGGCTCTTGGGTGGGCTTCCCTTTAGGCCTAACTTTTGTAATTACTTTTTATTTTATTATTATTATTTTTTTTGTTTAAAAAGAATATTATGAAATTCAACTTAAATGTCAGTTGGAGTTATTGACTGCGAGGAACGTTAGATCCGCCGCGTGGCCGCGGGGGAAGCTAAACAAGCCCTAAACAATCACTAAGTCAAAGCACAGTAAACTTTTAAATTCTTAATCTTACACATATCAGAGAGCTCACTTTTTCTCTCCCTCTAAAGTCTAACCCTACTTTCTCTAAAATTTTTCCAACTCTTTAATCTTTCGATCCCTAATTCCCATTTGTTTAATATTAGCCCCCATTAACAATTCATGGATTCGCCCTTGCAACCATCTCATACTTGTTAATAATTATTCTGTTGATTGTGATAGTAAACTTGAAATCAAGCCACATAAATAATGCACTTCGTTTATCACGTACTTTGTGGATGATCATTCATCATTGTTATTTATTTTCGTATGTTTTTTTTCTTTCCTTTCGTAATTAAGTGGTAATTGGTTTGGTATATAAATAAATATATATTTTCGTATGCTTGACACTTATGTATGGTCTCAATATTTGTTTGTTTGGAACTCTGTTCTCAAATGTGGTAACATATATACTTCATATTCATGGCATCAAAATAAATAATCGAAGCGATCGTCTCGATATAAGTAACTGTTTTGGCACAAAAGATTTTTTTTCTTCTTTTCTTCCCTTTTTTGAAATTTCGGCTAATTTCAAAAGAGTGCTTTTTTTATGTAAACAATTAACGTCAAACAAAAAATTTCGGCTAATTTCACCATGACAATTCGTCTTCGAAATGTTTATCGATCTCATTCATCCAAAAACCAGGATCGAGACTGGGGATCAAAACCAGATTTGAATTTTTGCGTAAGAGCTCCCAAAAAATAAAAAAGTATTAATTGGAAAGCATACAGTAACATTATAAATAGTAGTTCTCTGCGTACCTATTGCTTTAAGAACACTAATTCTGCTTTAAATACAAGAGATGCATTCATCTAGATAGAAAAACAAAGAAAAATAAAAAGAACACTCATTTCATGTTTCATAAATATAAGCACTCTCTTATTCTGCTTGAACCATCATTCACGTACATAATTACTAGTGCAAATAGGGATGTAAATGACATAGTAATTCCACAATCATTGCATATTAATTACAAGAAACGTCTGAGTTTTGGAGGAGCATACTGATTTGGGATGTTGAAGAAAGAACATTTTGTTTTCCGGTTGAAGATACCGCGTCCATAGGTAGATGAGAAAATGTCAACAAACAAGGGAAATTGCAATAGGACAAATGAGGTTACTGTGACACTAGCAAGCAAATCGATTGGAACAACAACCATTCTTCTCCGTTCACCAAGCACAATACCAAGGGTGGCAACAAAAGTGACCATCATTGTGGCAATAGATAAGAAAAGGGAGGCGAGACCAATTATTAGTCTCTTGGGTAATGAGTTGAGGAAATCATCTTTCGTACAGCGTGAAGTGAGAATGCTCAGGAACATTAACAGTAACTGAAGAGAATAGAGAGATTGCATCTGATAGAATGAAAACCATAAAGGAGTTGCGCTGTAGGAACTTGGGGTTTCCTGATTTTTCTTCAGTGCCACCTGGTAATGTGAAGGCTGCCGCAAACATAACAGTGACAATGAGAGCGGCCACGATTGTGAATGATCCTGCTGTATCTCTCATCCATTGTTCTCCTTCTTTGACTAAGTTATAGTGATAGTTTGAGAACAAATCTGAAGGAGTTTCTCCATTCCTGTTAGCAAGAAGTATATATGAAGATGGTACCGTCCTCTCCACCTCCTATCATACATGCATGTTGATGAGAAAGAACAAATTAAATTAACAATGAAATAAAAGTTCTGATAAGTACTACTTTCAAGTTTCAATCTAGCTAGCTAGAAACTTATATATTAATTTCCACAATTTAATTATATGAGTCGGTAGAAGGGCTCAAAGACATTATTAGCTCGCTAGCTAACATTGATTTCAGGGATTTATATAATTTTTGCAATATAATGACAGGGTCCTTAATTTCATATATACCAGTTACTTCTATGTTTGCTATATATTAATTAAACTATACTATTTTTAAAAAATCACACCAAAAGTATGATAAATCGATGATATAAATAGAAAGCTATCTAGCTAAGATTAATAGATTACCACCTTGTACCATTGTAGTTCTCTCTTCACTTTCATAGCTGCATCACGAGCTTTACTAAATACCTTCTGGGACTGTTGTTCTCCTTTCACTTCTTTTGGAGCTTCATATTGAATTCTAGGTCATCAATTTGGATAAATCAGAGCTGGATGTCCCGTTCATTTTCACCATTTGGTATGATTTCCTGAAGGTATTAAAAATCTGACCACCATAGCCAAATGGGCCTGGGCTAACTGAATAGGCTCATATATTTATGTAATGTTGGGCTCCATGTCTCTTTTGTAAAGATAGTGGGCTGATCTTATCACAGGCCATCACTGCTCTCAAACTTATTCTTAATGGCATAGTAGACATTTGTTATTGTGTGCAAGTGTGAGAATTTACTTAACAAAAAATATAAAAGAAATGTTAGACTTTCTGAAAAAAAATAAAAATAAAATCAAATGCACGATAGATCATCAATTCCTTGACATTGACTTGAGTCGTCTCGTTGCAGAAAAATATATTTTGTACATTTTAAAATATTTATACATGGATAAAATCACAAATTACTGTCATTAGTTTAATTTGGTCGCGAAACAAAGACTTTGAATATAACCACTCACCTGGTCAAAAATCAAGATGAGATTATTTTTGTGCAAATGTAGCTTAGCTTATGTTAAATAAAAGAGATAGAGAGACAGACATATATGAAATTGTACGATTCTGTATATTGAAGTATGTTTGAATCATGTACAAGGAGAGGTATAAATAGGTGAGAGATCACCAACGGCTATACAATAATCAAGGCATTAATCTATACAACGGTTATAGTATAATCTAACTATGGTAACAATCTATACAACGGCTATAATCTAATTATGTTAACATCCCCCCTCAAACTCAAGGTGGTAGAGCAGAAACCAACTTGAGTTTGGAAACTAATTCCCGAAATCTGCCTAGTGGATGAGCTTTGGTAAAAATGTCAGCAGTCTGATCAGCGGAAGTTATAGAATAAAGACGGGCAGTACCTCGAGCAACATGTTGACGCACAATATGACAATCAATTTCAATATGTTTGGTGCGTTCATGAAAGACATCATTATGAGCAATGTAAATAGCACTCCGATTATCACAAAGAGAACAGTGCCAGTGGAGTGCGAAATACCCAAATCTGTTAAGAGCCATCGAAGCCAAATAAGTTCTTGTGTGGAATCAGCAAGGGCATGATATTCGGCCTCTGTACTGGACCGGGAGACAACAGATTGCTTTTTGCTGCGCCAAGAAATGAGAGAGTTCCCAAGGAAGAAGCAATAGCCAGTAGTGGAACGTCGGTCAGTCGGATCACCTGCCCAATCAGCATCAGATAGGCACGTAACTCAAGTGAAGATTGAGAAGAAAAGTGAAGGCCCTGAAACATAATCCCTTTAATGTATCAAATGATGCGTAGTACAGTAGTATAGTGGGTAGATCTAGGTGCAGATAGGAACTGGCTGACAAGATGCAAGGCATAAGCGATGTCAGGTCGAGTCACAGTAAGATATACAAAACTGCCAACCACCTGGCGATACAATGTAGCATCACTGAGGAGTGTACCATCTAGAGGAGTGAGCTTGACATTGGTTTCAATGGGAGTAGGAGCTGTCTTGCAATCTGTGAGTCCAGCATGAGCAAGAATGTCAGAGCAATACTTGGCTTGGGAGAGATAATAGCCATCTGAATCAGAGAGAATCTCCAAGCCAAGGAAATAACTGAGGCACCCAAGATCCTTCATATCAAAGTGATGACTAAGAAAAATTTTGAGTACAGAGATACCTGCAAGATCATTTCCAGTGATTATCATGTCATCAACATAAAGTAAAAGAAGAGTAATACCAGAGTCAGTATTGCGGATGAAAAGACTGGAATCATATGAGCTTGAAGTAGATCCAAAATCTCCAATTGTAGTACTAAATTTTGCAAACCACGCCCTTAGAGCTTGTTTAAGACCATATAGTGCTCGACGGAGTTTACAGACTTGGTGTGGAAAGTGGTCATATCCTGGAGGGGGTTTCATATATACTTCTTCATTGAGATCGCCATTGAGAAAGGCATTTTTCATATCCATTTGAAACAATGTCCATTTTCGGGCTACTGCAATAGCCAATAGGCTACGGATAGAAGTAAGTCGAGCAACAGGGGAAAATATTTCCTCATAGTTAATGCCATATTCTTGGGTGAAGCCCTTTGTAACAAGACGAGCTTTGAAGCATTCCACAGAACCATCAGAACGAGTTTTGATTTTGTAAACCCATTTACAACCAACAACAGTTTTGTCAGAGGGAAGAGTAACCATGTCCCAGGTCTAAGCTTGTGCGAGAGCTTGTAATTCTTCTGCCATAGCTTGCTGCCAAAGGGGGTTAGAACTAGCCTCACGATAGGATTGAGGCTCATGATGAGACATGATAGTAGAGAAACACTGAAAATTTGTAAATAACTAGGAGGTTTTCTTACCTGATCAAATTGGCGAGGAGGTTTAGCAGTAGTAATGATATCTGATGAAGAAGATTCAGTAATAGGACTATCAAATGGAGCAGATTCGTCAGGTAAGGCCATTTGTGGGAGCTCAGATGGAGATTTAGTAACAAGGCCATCAGATGAAGCAGATTCATCAGGTAAGGCCATTTGCTGGAGTTCAGATGGAGACGTTATTTCTGGAGTAGATGAGGTAGTATTTGGAAGCTCAGATAAGGATATTGTATCTATGTCGTCTAGGAAGAGTTTAACTGAAGAATCGGTAAAGAAAAAGGGAGTAGAAGATGAAGATAGATGGAATTTGGATAGAGAAGAGAACATTTTGTGTTCCCAAAAGATAACATAACGAGAGATATGAAGACGTTTGGAAATGGGATCCTAACATCTGTATCCTTTGTGTTTAATTCCATAACCTAAAAAACAGCACAGTCGAGATCGAGGCTCTAATTTGGTACGTTCATGAGGTTGAAGTAATACAAAACAAGCGCATCCAAAAACTTTGAGTAGATTATAAGCCGGAAGGATCCTATATAAGCGTTCATAAGGAGATTGATTGCCAATAATAGGCATTGGAACACAGTTAATGGTGTATACAGCAGTGAGAGCTGCTTCCCCCCAAAAACACTCAGGACAAGAACTGGATATGAGGAGAGAACGAACAGTGTCTAAGATATGCCTATGTTTACGTTCAGCCCGCCTATTTTGTTGGGATGTGCCAGGACAAGACGAGTGAGAGATCGTGCCATGTTGGCGAAGAAATTTTAGAAAATTTGTTTCATTGTACTCCATAGCACTATCAGCACGAACAATCTTGATGGATCGAGAAAATTGGGTTTTGACCATGTTTGCAAAATCATAGTAAAGTTGGGGTAGTTCAGAGTAATTTTTCATGAGATATAGCCAGGTAAATCGTGAGTAATCATCAATGAAAATAACAAAGTATTTAGATTCTCCCATTGTAGTGTGAGGAGAAGGTCCCCATACATCAGAGTGAACTAGGTCAAAAGGAGCAGAAGTAATAAATGTACTTTTATTGAAAGATAAAGCAGGTTGTTTTGCAAGTTGACAAGGTAAATAAGTTACATCATCATTTTTAACTGAACCTAATTGACCAGTTGACACTAAGGAGCGTAAACGCCCAATAGACATATGACCTAATCGGGAATGCCAAAGGCTAAGGGAGGGAGTAGAGGTTGCTGAAGCAACAGTGGAAACTATAGAGAGCCGATGAGAAGGAATGCGGAGATGGATGAGCTCAAAGAGACGTCCCACTTTACGGCCTATCCCAAAGGTCTGCCCCATCTGTGGATCTTGTACATTACAACCAGAAGAAGAAAAAATGACATTAAGTCCAAGTTCACATATCTGACCAACAGAGATAAGATTGATTGTAAGTTTTGAAATATGAAAGGTATTTGAGAGTGAGACATTGGGGGTGGAAATTTGACATGTAAATGAGATCTATCAGCAGTATGAATTGTAGGTGTATTAATGGCAGGATGATGTTTAGAAAACATTGTAGAATCAGAAGTCATGTGATTACAGCATCCAGAATAAAAAAACCAAGAATTACCTGAGGTAACAGACATAACAGTAGAAGTAGGAGTACCATTATTAGAGAGGATCTGCTTAAGGAGAGCTTCGATATCATTGGTGGACATTGTTGTGACTGTAGGAACTGGAGGACAGGACCCCTCAGCAGTGACAGCAGTGATGGATGAAGATGGATGAACGTCGCTGGATGAAGAGCCTCTGAGAGAATTGGTGCGAGATTACCAGTTCTTAGGAAAATCATTATGGTAGTGACCTGGGCCTTTCTTGTGACAAAACTTGCATATTCTGGTGGGACAGGTTAATAAGGTATGATCGGTTTTATGACAGTAGTTACATTCCTTTGGAGAGGAAAATGATAAAATCGGTTTCTTTCTATGATAATGAGTAGCAAGGACTGCTGCATCTAGAGCCTGAGGTTGAAATGTACTTAGACGAGTTTCCTCTGAAAGAAGCTCAGTTATAGCATCTTCTAAGGTAGGCAAAGGATGCCGAAGAAGAAGAGAGGCTCGAACTGGTTCAAATGAGGGTTGAAGAGCCATGAGAAACATGATAACACGTTGCTGATCTCGATAAGTAGTAAACTTTGTAGTATCAGAAACACATGACCAATTGGGTTCAGAAAGAGATAGTTGATCCTAAATAACATGTATTTCAGAGACAAAGTTACCGATAGATTGACTAGGCTGTTGAGTTTTACTGTGAAGATTGGTCAGAAGTTGATATTGATGAGCGAGATCAGTAGTGGTGTAACGGTTCTTCAAAAAATCCCTGATGGATTTTGTAGAATTAAATCGGCCAAATTCGATACTGATAGATGAGATACAAGTGTTGCGAAACCAAGTAATAATTTGATGATTTTTGCTATCCCATTCTTCAAGACGATCACCATATTTTTCTGTTGTTTCTGTTTCAAGTCGCACGGGTTCGAAGACATCACTTGTAATAATGTACCATAATTTCTTACCTTTAAGAAAACTGGACATAGCTTGGGACCATAGGATATAATTTGAACAACCTTGTAAAATAGTCCCAATAGGATTGGAATTGTCAGATCTGTCCATAACTGAAATATGAGAGGTGAGATATAAAGAGACAAATTTAGTGG